AAAGTCAATGCTGGAAGGTAAACCGGAAGGAACAGGAGCAGCTACATCTTTGAGAAGTTTGTTGGCAATTAATATGACCCATGAAATAGATCATGAATCTTTTCTTAAGTCTGTGGTTTAGGTGTGCATTTCTGATGTTTCACTGACTGATGTAAATTTCATTTAATCCAGTCAAAAAGCTCCATGATATAGCAAATTACCATACTGCTTACAGAGGTCTTTGTGAAATATAATACTGGTTCATAGGGGAAGGCAAGCACATGTGAAGGATTAGGGCTGCTATTTACTTCCACTATTTCCCAAGACTTGTGCCATAACTGCCTGATCTTTGAAGGTAAAATTTCTTTGGCAAAGTAGGAACCTTTCTACTGTGTTTTCCCAAACCTTTAAAAAAAGGCATATGAATGTTTACTTTGTTTTTCATATAAAAAGCTGTTCTATGACAGCCTCAGTCATTATTTCTATATATCTCCTTTTTCATATATTTTATTATTTTCTCATTGTTATCAAACTACAAGTCATTTTCTAATCACTGTTGGTTTTCTTTTTGTTAAGGAAGAAGATGATTCCCTGTTTGATAAAGGGGAAGTGAATTTTTGGGCCGAGAAGCTGACTCATGTGAGACAACTGAGTAAGCACCTTTTACATCTTGTATCAGTGACTCACCTCACCTTACCAGATCATGGGGAGCTTAATCATCTGTCAAGAATAGCACTGGACCAAGCCCACCGCATTGAACACCTTCTTGGAGCTCTACCTCCACTTCCAGAGTTTTCCAGAACTCCAGAATTCACAAGATTGGCTATTCAAAAGGAGACAGTATCAGTCTGTCTTAAAATATTAAATCTGCTGAAGCCTGATGACACTTGCAAAAATGAAATTCTGGAAAAGTAAATTACTAAAACTTCATCCTCAGGGAGCTGCACACATTACTGGATGGGCAGCGAGACTGTATTCCAGTAATATTCAAGGAATCAGGGATTGCTGTGGTGACTTCAGGAAATCTGCAGTACCTTCAGCATTCAGGCTAGAACTACATTTTTTGTATTGATTTATTTTTTACAGGATGTGCAGTGGAAGACTTTTCCTTTTAAATGCATTTGCTAATTTCATTCAGATGAGCATTGTTTATTAAATTGTGCATTGATTTATTTTTTACGGGATGTGCAGTGGAAGACTTTTAAATGCATTTGCTAATTTCATTCAGATGAGCATTGTTTATTACAGCTACTGTAGGAAGTAAAGCAGCTAAACTTAATATTTTCCATTCATCCAGGTGCAGGCCACCTGTAGTTCTGTTTTGTTCCACATTTTACCTCCTGTATCTCAATACCAAGAAAAAGGTATTTTTTGGTCTCATTTCAAGATGAAGCATGTAACTGATGAAATAAATATGCTTTTTAAAAAACCTTTAAGCGTTTCTAACAGAAAAACAAACCGTGACTTCTTTGTTTATGGCAATTTTTAGAGTATATTTTAAATTTTACTGCATTTTTCTCTGGAGGAAGACAAGGATTTTCACTGTGGTAGTAACCTTGTTTTGCACATTGAAACAGCATTAGTTAGATTTCTGCACACCTCTTTTGTCCTTTAAATCAAGTAACTACTTTCATAAAATGGCTCTAAAATGAAGCAGAGCTGTATTCAAAACGAAGCAGCTGTTCCATTGCAAACGAACAGTTTCATCTTTACTTCCACCACCTTGTTCTGCAAGCAGGCCTGGAAAGCGAGGTCCTGGAAAGCCGAGGAGCGTGAGGGCCCTCGGAAGGTACCAGAGGTGTTTGTGCGCTGCAGCCCTCGCTTCTGGGAGATGCTCTCACCAGGGGGGCAGCTGTAGGGACTGTTCCGACTGCTCCAGGGTCTTGCTGTGTCTAAAACGCAAAAAAAACTTGTTGCACATTGAATGTTGTTTTTTTCTGCGAACTGGAATTGGGTTTCGATATGAAAATGAGACATTAGAAATAAATAGTGATGTGGAAAGGTTGTGTTGCCTTCCCATAGCCGAGGGCTGCGACAAGGGCTGTGACTGGACGTGTGGCTGGGCCCGCCACAGCACGGATGTGCGGCCCTGTACGCCGTCATTTCGGTGTCCTTGGAAGAAGAACATGCCCGATGAACGCCTGGTTGCTTTCAGCCTGTGCACCTGACGGTGTCAGAGCGCAGTTTAGCCCCAAATCTCGGTGTCGCTCCGGCGCTGCCCGAGCGCTCGGCCCGCGGGTGCGCTGCGCGGCCGCCAGGTGGCGCCACAGCACCGCCGCGCACGGGCCGGGCCCGCGCTCCCGCCGGGACGGGATCGGGATCGGGAGCGGGATCGGGATCGGGATCGGGGTCAGCCCGGGCAGGGTAAGGCTTGGGCGCTGCGGTGCCCCACAGCCGATCGCTGCTCTCTTGAGTTTAAATACTCTGCTGTGAATAGAGCTGAGCTGCCGAGTTGGGTCCAGTGGACATCTGAACGCTGCACAGTCACCACTTAAAAAACCCCAACAAACAGAACTTGGGAATAAAAGTGTAGTATTTGCTCTAAGTTTCCAGGATTCAGGGTTACTTATATAAGAAGTAATTTATGGCGAAACTTGAGGCTTCAATAGGCAAAAGAGAAATGTTGGAATCTGAGATGATGTTTCACAGAATGCTCGCTATCCAACTCAACGAGCCATGCTGTGAGTTAGGCTAAAAATTAATTTGTATGCATCTGGTTTGAGCTCCTGGGGAAAGAATAGCCCAGATTGTGTCTGGAAGCCACTCTTAAAAAAATAGTCAAGACCTGTACAATTAATTAACAGCTGCTGATTCTGCCACATCTTTCCATCATTTCTGAACTAGTGTGGCAACAGCTATCTATAGTAGAAGACAAAAAATAACTTTTTTATGTATCAAAATAACTGTAAAGTTCTGACCTTGCTCATGTCAGTGGGTAGCATAAGACTATGCAGTAACATTGGCTTCTTTTATAATTGGGTAGAATTTAAAAGGCATGTGCATATACATTTGATACTGGCAAGTCGATAAATGCAGACAGGTGATTGCAGACAGTAATAGACCCACAGTGACCGTAAAACTTGGTGAAGCCTTGAGGACTTGGTTAATCAGTTACCAAACAGCTCGAAAACCCGGTCTTCCTTATTGTGGTTTTAAGATGCAACTGGAACCTCTGTCATCCTGCTTGAGTTTATAGGAGAGCAACCAAGAACTATATCGGTGCACATACATTTCACCACACCGTGCTGATGAGGGGTTACTGTGTAACTAGTGAATGAAGAACCTTTAGACCCCGAGGAGCGATTGCAGGAGAGTGTTAGCAAAACCTGATGCCACAGCACTTATCGGCCGTGTGTTTGATCAAAGTCAGTTTATCAAAGTATTCCTCCCAATGGCGCTGACACATTGATCCGTGCATGATCGTCACAGTAAACTGTTCCCTCGGTTGTCTGGCGGGCAGGATCAGCTCCGAGGTGATGTTTCCATCGCAGAGTTGTGTGGGAGGAGGAAGAGTTTGAACTCGGGTCAGTGCGGAGGCGACTCCGACCGGCCCCGGAGAAGGTTATGGGAAGCGATACGCGTTACGGCTGCAGCCCCGCGTTCCGGCGGCTCCCCGTGTGCGGGGCAGCGCCTGTCGCCGGGACGGGAGCTGTGGCCCCGGCAGGGCGGGAGGAGGGGAAGGAGCAGGAACGTGGGATGTGTCCCGGCCCCGCAGGGCGGAGGAGCCGGCGGCCGCTGGGGGGCGGCACGTCCCCGCCGGCCGCGCGGGCAGCGGGAGGGGCGGGAGCGGGGCTGGGAGCGGGGCCGGGAGCGGGGCCGGGAGCGGGGCCGGGAGCGGGGCCGGGAGCGGGGCCGGGAGCGGGGCCGGGAGCGGGGCCGGGAGCGGGGCCGGGAGCGGGGCCGGGAGCGGGGCCGGGAGCGGGGCCGGGAGCGGGGCCGGGAGCGGGGCCGGGAGAAGGGCCGGGAGCGGGGCCCCGCCGAGCCCAGCGGCGCTCGCCGAGCGGGGGACGGGCCCCAGGGGACTGCCGGCACACGGGAGGGAGCGCGGTTTGGGCTTTCCGCCGCCCAGCCCCTCGTCCTTCCCGGGAGATTTCGATCTCCGGTTCCGGCTCGTCCGGCCGTGGGTGACGGCTCACGGGCGGTGCCAGGGTCCGGGCAGGGTCCCGCCCGCAGCCTCCCCCCCGCAGCGGCGGGAGGTGGAGGACGAGGGGGGGAAGCAAAGGAGGGCGTGAGGCGCTGGGCAGCGGGGGGCGAGCGCGGAACCCGGGGCCAGGGGCTGTGGTGACACCCCGCCCCCAGGCCGAGGTTCCTTTCCTTTGCAAATGTGTTTGCACAGCGCCGCGCTCCTGCTGACGTGGTCGGGTTTGCTCCCTTGGAGTGCGCGGGACTGCCATCCCGGCTCGGAAGCTGAAGAGGATCAAACGCCTCTGCTGGCTTTAGCAGCCATAAAACTTTACACGTCCGTCCGCTTCTGTTCTCCTTCCCATTTGTCCCGGGGCCGAGCAAACGCGGGAGGGGACGGGGTGCAGAGGAGCCGCCGTTCCCACGTCGTGTTTGCGCGGTCTTATCGGCGCGGGGGGGCGGCGGGGGATGTTTTGCACGGCGGCTCCCGGCCCGCCTTGGCCGGCGGCCGGCTCGGTCCCGGGAGGGCGCCTGGCCGCGGGGTCCGGCCGCTGCCTTCGCCGGCGGTCCGGCGGTGGGGGGCACCTGGGGCGGCGGCCGGGGCACTCGATGGGTCTCACTTGGCGGGGATGAGGAAGGAAGGGGCCGAACGTGGAAGAGAAACGTGGGAGGGGTGCGGGGCGCGGGAAGGAGATGCAGACAGGGTTGGGGGGGGTAGTTTACCAGCCAGGCCGCTGCGAGGATAATGCCACCTCGCCTGGCCACCAACCTCTCCCAAACTTCAGAAAGAGTAAGCGCCAAACCCGAGGTCCCCGAAAAGAGGGAAGAAGCGGCGGGGCGCGCAGCCCCTGCCCGGCCCCGTCCCGCCAGCCTCACCGGGGCAGCGCGGTCCCGACCTTTGTTTCAAGCAATTACATGGCAAAAGTTTATTTTCGGCAGGGCGCGGGGAAGAAGCGTCCCCGGCGCTGCCGCGCCTGTCCCGCGGCCCCGCGCGTCCTCCACTCGGCGGCAGCCGCCCCCCGGCCGGGGGCAGCGGCAGCGCGGAGGCGCCGGGGACAAGAGGGGCGCTGCACAGGGGACGAGCCCGCAGGGCGCCGTGAGCGCTGCCTCGGCTGGTTCCCCGCTCCCCCCGCCTCGTCCCGCCCGCGCTGCGGGCGCACTGCAGCACAGGCGCTCCCCACGAACCTGCCCCGCCGCCGCTGCCAGCGCCCTCTGTAAGAGTCGGGGCGGCCCGGCCGGCGGGCAGGAGCGGGGCGGGCCCGGCGGGCGGTGCGGGGCGGGCGGAGCGGAGCACCGCCTCCGCGACAGCGGCGGCCGCGTTTATATGGGAGCGGCGTGGGGCGCCGCCGAGTTCCCGCAGTTCGCCCGCTGCTGTGCAGCCGCCGTCGCCGCCTCGGCCCGGCACCCGCCGTCCCGCCGGGAAGGAGTCGGGACCGTTTCGGATCTCAAGCAGACGGCCCTCTCCTATTTAGTCGTGGCTTTTCCAAACCCTCCGAGGAGAGCGGGATCTTTCGGTCCTTCCTGTATATCCGACCATTACAGGATCTAGAAATGTCGACGACACTTTTATCTGCCTTCTACGACATTGACTTCTTGTGCAAGGTAGGCAAGAGCGCGTTTGGCTGGGCGGGACGCGGTCTGCCGCTGCCGCCATGTGCAGAGCGACGCTCCGGGCTACCGGGGCAGCGCGGCGGGACGGGAGGCCCGTGCCGGGCCGGGCTCTGCGGGCGGGTCACGGTCTGACAGCCGGCCGGGGACAGCAGCTGACGCAAGGCTGCGCGCCCCGGAATGCCGCCCCATGGTCTCCCGGCGGCCGCGCTCGGGGCGGGCTGGTCCTGCAGCCGCGGGGGAGCCGGGCCGCCCTGCAGCCCCTGCCCGCATGTTGCGCTGCTAGGAGGAACTTTTTCAAAAGTTGCAAATGCAGCAGAGCTGGCGCGGGGGTTTCTCCCGGCGCTGTCCTGCCCCGCCGGCGGTACCGGCAGACGCGCTTTGCGGGGCGGGCGGGCGGCGCGACCCCCGCCTCGCCTCCCGCGGCGGTGGGGAGCCGTGCCCGTGGGCAGGCGGTCACCCGCAACACCCTCTCTCTCTCCCGCTGTCTCCCCCACCCCCTCCCCTCTCCCGCCCCGGCAGACGGAGAAGTCCCTGACCAACCTCAGCAGCATGCTGGACAAGAAAGCCGTGGGGACCCCGGTGACCCCTCCCAGCTCCAGCTTCGCGCCGGGCTTCCTGCGGCGGCACTCGACCAGCAACCTGACGGCGCTGGCCGGCGGCTCCAAGTTCCCCAGCCCTACCGGCTCCAGCTCTTCTTCCACATCCTCCTCCTCCTCGTCGTCGTCGTCCTCCTCCTCGTTCGGCAATCTGAAGGAGACGGGCTCCGGCGGAGGCGGCGGTAGCAGCAGCCCCACGGCCCTGCTCAACAAGGAGAACAAGTTCCGGGACCGCTCCTTCAGCGAGAACGGCGAGCGTAGCCAGCACCTCATGCAGCAGCTCCAGCAGCAGCAGCAGGCGGCCGGCAAGGGGAGCGGCTCCGGCGGCGGCGGCGGGGCCCCCATCAACTCGACGCGCTACAAGACGGAGCTGTGCCGCCCCTTCGAGGAGAGCGGCGCCTGCAAGTACGGCGAGAAGTGCCAGTTCGCTCACGGCTTCCACGAGCTGCGCAGCCTCACCCGCCACCCCAAGTACAAGACCGAGCTCTGCCGCACCTTCCACACCATCGGCTTCTGCCCCTACGGCCCGCGCTGCCACTTCATCCACAACGCCGACGAGCGCCGCCCGGCGCCCGGCGGGGGCACGGCCGCCCGGCCCAAGCTGCACCACAGCCTGAGCTTCTCCGGCTTCTCCGCCCACCACCACCACCATCACCCCCCGCACCCGCACGGCACCGCCCCGCCGCCGCCGCCGCCCGGGGGCCGCCTGGACGCCGCCCTGCTGGAGAGCCCCGGCGGTTCGCGCACGCCGCCGCCGCCCGCCTCCGCCTCCTACTGCGAGGAGCTGCTCTCGCCGCCCTGCGCCAACAACGCTTTCGCCTTCTCGGGGCAGGAGCTGGGCAGCCTCATCGCCCCCCTCGCCCTCCACACCCAGAACTTCGCCGCTGCCGCCGCCGCGGCCGCGGCCGCCGCCGCCTATTACCGCTGCCAGCAGCAGCCGCCGCCGCCCGGCGGGGCCTGCCCGCCGCCCCCCGCCTCGCCGCCCTTCAGCTTCCAGCCCCTCCGCCGCCTCTCCGAGTCGCCCGTCTTCGACGCGCCGCCCAGCCCGCCGGACTCGCTCTCCGATCGGGAGAGTTACCTGAGCGGCTCCCTCAGCTCCGGCTCCCTCAGCGGCTCCGAGTCGCCCAGCCTGGACTCGGGCCGCCGCCTGCCCATCTTCAGCCGCCTCTCCATCTCCGACGACTGAGGGAGGACGGGGCAGCGGCCGGGGGGGCCCCGCGGCGGCCCGGCAAGTAAGTTACCGAACGAAGAAAGCGAAACCTCTCCTTCCTCTCTATTTTTGGTTGGTTTTATTTTGTATATCTATCTATACACCGAGAGCTGAACAAAACGAGAAACAAAGCATTTTGCAAAAGGGCAAATGACACGAACTGAACAAACCTATTTTTATAGAGAGACCTTGGAAGAAGGGGATTTTTGTTTCGGGGTTTTTTTTTGTTGTCGTTCTTTGGAGACAAGTTATGATACGCACCAGCAGCAGCCATTCCATCTGTGTTCCTAAAAAAAAAAAAAAACAAAAACAAAACAGCATTAGAAAAGACAGCACCAGAAAGCAACAAACAATCCGGGGAGCGCCGGTTCGCCAGCCCAGCTCCTCCAATCCTGCAGACACACAGAAAAAAAGTTACAAACTAGTTTGTCTTTCAATCCAGTTCAAATAAAAACACAGAACCTACTAAACCTATAAGCTTTTTTTTTAGGAAAAAAAAAAAAAAAAAAAAAGAAAAATCCAACATCCTGCCAAGAATATGCCTTGATAACAACCTTCTTTTTTATATATATCTATATATTATTATTATAACAAATGCTAAAACCTTCATTCCAAAGTTTAATATTGGTTCCATTGCCACCACTTAGTGGATGTTTGGCTTTTAGAACAATTTTTTGTTGTTGCTTTATTTGGAAGCACTCAACTGAGTTTAGTTTGTAATTGTTGGAGAATAACTGCTGATTTTTTTAAAAATTTTTTTTAGCTGTTTGAGTTGATTGCATGTATGAGTCACTGCACACAACTCAATATGAAACTATTTAACTTATTTATTATCTTGTGAAAAGTATACATTGGTAATTTGTTCATACTGTATTTATCGGGTATGATGAAAAGCAATAGATATATATTCTTTTATTATGTTTAAATTATGATTTTCATTATTAATCGGCAAAATGTGGAGTGTGTTCTTTTCACAGTAATATATGCCTTTTTGTAACTTTCACTTGGTTATTTTATTGTAAATGAGTAAAATTCTTAATTTAAGAGATGGTATGTAATATTTATTTCATTAATTTCTTTCTTTGTTTACGTAAATCTGAAAGATTGCATGGTTTCTTTATAGAAATCGGTCTCGATGCTGTGGAAGTAGTTTGCGGAATTTCTATGGGTTTTTTTTAGAATGTAAATGGTTGTAGCCCGTCCGAGTTGAAAAACGAGAGAAAAAAAAAAAGAAAAAGACTGACTTAGCAATCAGACTTCAAAGTGGCAAATCTAATTCAGACTTGTTTAAAATAACCAAAAAGTATTTTTGTTGCCTAACTCCACGAATCACACTGTGATATAGTCTCAAAGTATGTAGCAATAATTGGGGGTCCCAGTATTATGTCTCACAGTGCCTTCTTGAGGGTCCATGCTTGCCTTAAATATCTCTCAACCAAATAAGTATTTTTCCTAATGCTTGAGATGATTTGAATGTAGGGATGGGTTTTAAGTACAGCAAAATTTCGCCACTCTATTTTATAAGAACAGAGGCCATCTTTGGATCTGAAACTTTCTATAATACAGGAACATATCTTGTTTATTGAATTCCAAAACCTGTAATTTTTTTTTTCCTTATGTAGAAAGTTGGGAGTTTTCCAAAAGTTTCCTGGACGGTGGATGAATGAGCAGTAGCTTAGTTTTGTTTGTACATAGGTACAGATTGAGCACTATGTACTCTTTTGGACTACTTTAACAGAAGTATGTTTTGAATGTAACTAAAGGATAAGTCAACTTGAGTTGTAATATATTTTTCGGGAGTCAGTTCACTACAGATTATGTGAGACTGTAAACTTTGTACTGTAAATGTTTTGTAGTTCTCCCAATAAAATTTTTTGGAAAAAAAAAATCAACAACCCCAGTAACCCTTCAAAGTGCTGAGGCCCTGGCTGCCAGGCAGGAGTATTTCTTGCTAAACACCACCACCTCCCAATCACAGATATGTCTAGCTACAGATTAACCAGTTTGCACTGCCACTCCAGGCTGCTCCTGCAGCCCTGGCTGGTCGGTGGCCAAAGTTAATAAACGTTTCCAGAAGGTTCGGGAATGTCAGCGGTGTACTGTATCCTGCTTTTCTTTTTTTTCTTTTCCCTTTTTTTAAAAAAATTTTTTTAAATTTTTTTTTTATTATTAAGAGGATGGAGAATCAAACCTCTGCTGCTTCTTGTGTAACAGCTGGAGTGGAAAAATCTAGTAGTGGCATTTATCAATCACATAGCTTATGGGGCTATGTGAATGTGCCATTAGCCTTCCTGCCTTGTTTGGGGTGAGGAGGAAATGGCAGTTTGGGTAATAAAAAGGCATAATTAAGGTTTACCCTTTGTCCCAAAAGCTTTGTTCCTCTTCACTCACAGGAATGCGGACTTCTGCCTCAATGCTCCCATCACCCAGCTGAGGGCATATCTGTGTTAATCGGGCTAGCATTAAATGTGCTAATCAGTTTTCAGGGCTTGGGTTTTAAAGAAATTACCTTTTCGAGGCTGTATTTATATAACTAAATACTTGGCAGCCTGGGGACTGTGTGAGTATTAATACTGGAAGAATTTTAGCTAATATCTCCACAGTTTGGAACCCTATTCCAATCAGTCCCTTAAACTTTTAAGTCACGATTTCTACCAGCTTATTTTTGTTCTTTTGTCATACTAATAATAAATGTTGTTAACATTATGGCATTTCTGCGCTGCCTGGGCTGCCACAGCACTTTCTATAAATACAAGATAGAATGTAATACCAGTGCCATATGTTTGTGTAACAAACCTTGGACTGACACTTAGTTTAAAATTAAAATAAACATAAGCAATGTATGACAACACAGCCCAGCTACAGGAATCACCTTTTTTTTCATGGATCCAGTCTGACATTTTGGCTCAGAATTGCTCCCTTTGATTCCCAGACTAATTTCTGATGAAACTTCTTTTTGTCGCTGTCTGCACAGTGGCGCTGAGCTCTGATGGGTCCTTCCCCAGGCATCCCTGGTACAGATGCTTTGGCTGCAAGGAGCGGGCCCATGCCAGTGTTTTGGAGGAACAGGGAGTGGCTGTTGGTTTGACCGGTGTCTAAGCTGATGTCCTAACTTACTTTTGGGATTTTGAGATTAATTTTCACACTAAAACTGCATATATAAGGAGTGCATGCCTCATTTAATTTCAGATTTTCTTTAGGTACAGTTTTTGCTTTTCTCATTCGCCCACCCGTTCCCCTGAGCCTGCCTTTTTCTTGCCACAGTAGATAAGGATCTTATTTATTTTCTATATTTCTCTTATCTGGGACAGCTGTACTTGCAACAGCGCAGTAACTTCCATCTTCCCTGTGGTTTTCTGTTGGTTGAATGGGATCTTGGTGAGGGTGCTGGCCTTGGCTTTGGTGTCTCCTGGCTGGAAGAGGAGCTCTGGAGGCTTTAGAGCAGCTGCCCCACATGAATCACAACCGTGCTGGTGTCAGTGCCAGTGTTCTGTGCGTTAAAAAGTTGCTGCCAGGACAGGAGGGCTGATGGCCCAGCGGTGTCTCCCAGCTGGCTGCTGGCATGCCAGTGTGTGGGGACAGCTGGGCTCGAGCTGCTCTCTGCCCAAGTGGCCCTCTGTGCTGCACCCTGCTCTGTTTGTACCTCCAAAGTGTGCTGCAGCCTGGCCCCTTGCACTTCCGCTGTTCAGAAATCCGGGAGTCCTTGAACTGGGAAGATAAAGCGTCTGTTTCTTGTGCTGCACAATCAAGTGTTAACCTTTAAACTGGTGACTTATGTTGTTGACTTAAGCAAATGTTCTCTTGCTTTCATTTCAAAATTCAGCAAAGCGTGTAAAGCTGGTCAGGCCATTCAGAACTTTCTGATACTTTGCAATAAATGGATAAATACTGTGTAAAAAATAAACTGGGTTTTTTTTTTCAAGAGCTTTGTGTTAAGAAGGAACTCTAAGGCTTCTGGTCTATTACCCATCAGTTGTGATTTATCTCTCTTAATTGCTGGAGCACTTAAAATTACTTTAAAGGTCTGGAAAATGGGACCTTTACTAATCATTGGTTAGGACTGAGGCTTGCATGCTTGTTTTATTTTATAGTCTGAAAGAAATTGTGTCATAGTCTTAAACTGGTAGGGATTTATGTAATGGTATAGGTCTTGAAATAGGGATTTATTTAAAATGGTTTGCTATGATCATTAGGGGATTTTCAAATGTATTGAATTAGTAGTTTTGATTTTTACTCCCTAATCCTGTCAGCTGCTTGGGGCCTTTTTATTTGCTTGGCTTTTCTCAGCTTGCCTGTGTCAGGTATAGTAGTGTGCTGTGACTCCTGTGGAGTGGAGGGATTGCACACCACCAAACACACTCCCAGCAGAGTGCCGTGATGGAGCAGAGGGATGCTCCTCGCCGTGTGCATCCTGGTTGAAGCATGAGCTGATTCTGCTCTATGCCCAGGGTCACCTTCATTTCAGGTGTAGAGCCGGGGGATGCAGAATGCTCTGTGTCACTCGTGGACAAGGGCAGGTGGCCACAGGAGGAGCTGATGGGCTGTTGGATCCTCTCTGCTGTACTGCTGAATGCAGAACACAGCAAACCAGGGGTTAAATACACAGGTGGAAGGAGAGCTCTGTTCCAGAGCATCATTTAAATGTCCAGTGCAGCTCCACATTACTTTGAAAAAGAAGTTATTGCCCTCCTTCCATTTACGGCCCCCACCCCATCCCATCATTAGGTGTGCAGTTGTGATTTTTCAAAGAAAGGATGCATTTGACAACCTCATTTTCAAAGAAGGCCTGAGATTTTAGTTATGTTAATGACCAAAATGTGCTTTTATTTTTTTGCCTTTTGCTACTATAGCATTAAAGCTAAAGGACTTCCACAATATATTTTTAACATTGCGGTCCATCTCTTCTTGCTGACCTTGAGTGTGAATATTATTTGAAGAAGCTTCAGGCAGTGGTGCTCTGTCACTAATAATAGAGGACATTTCAGGTTTTGCCTGCTGAGCCTACAGACCTCAGCAGCACATTAACTCTGGAAACTGAAACTTAATTTTCTGACCCTTCAGCTTAAACTCAGATCCTTGGAGTTTTAAAGTGAAAATACTAGGCTTCTCACTTGATTGCACCTGAAATACAGTTACCTCTTCCCTTTGCTGACTGTGCAGCAGGTTGGTACCAGTCCAGAGAGGGGCAGGAATGACCACAGCCAGGGACCTGAGTGCTCATCTGCTGAAGAAGTCAGTGAAAGATTGGGATGAAAGTTGCTTACTCAAGGTGATGTAGCAGTTTCTCCGCTCTGCTCCTCCCTGGCCCTTTCTGACCCATTTCCTGAGCCAGCTGAGGTTCCTATGGGAGAGCATCCTGGCACCCTGCTCACACCACATGGCCCAGGGTGGGTGCTCTGTCCTCTGCCACCAAAAGGTCCCCTCAGCCCCAGCCAGCTCTGTTGCTTGCTGCATTTGCCTGGGTGTTGATGCATTTTATAAACCAGGCAGAAAAAAAAAATTGGTGTTTTCTCCTGGAGTGGAGTTGAAGTGGGTCCATCAGGAGTCTGATGATTTTCAGAGCTGGTGCAAGGGAGGAGGAGGAGGAAGAGGCCCACATCCTGGACAGAGGTAGAAGTGATGGGATGGAGGACCAGGTGTCTCTCCCTGCCAAACTGCTACATTGGTTTATCCCTCCTCCTGTGTAGATTTGTTTTGTTTGAAGAAACATTGTTTCCTCACAGTTCTTTGGGAAATTCTTGGTGCGCCCATGTTAGAACTGTTTTTATATTCGTGATTATAAATCACTCACACGAACCTTGAGTACTTCTTGTGCCATTTGAACACACACACCAACATTTAAGGGAAGGCTCATTTCAACATAGAGTTTAATTAATGATTAATGTGACTGTATCCCTGAATAGTTTGGTTTACTGGAAATCAAGTAATGGTTATATGGCAAAGAACAACATCTTCTGAGAAGTTCTCAATGTTAAAGGAAACACTTGTTATCAGCTGACATAGATTTAGCAGGTTGTGTAAGTTTTGCAGCATATGTACTAAGGAACATTGGTTAATAGGTCTAATTCCTTTAATAAAATTCATTTTATATTGGAGAGGAGGGTGGAGGAATGAGATTCCTCCCTTAAGGTCTAGAGGGCCTTGTCTCTAAAAAGATTTTTTTTGTTTCAAAGCTTAGTCAAACTTATATGAGTCATTTCATCTTTCCTTTCAAAGGGCTATAATGGATTTGTTAATGGAGGCATTTTGGGGTGAACCCTGCAAAATTTGCATTCCTGAGGAAACCAGGGAAAATTACCCTGATAAATCTTCCCTCTGTTGCTGAAGAGGGATAGATGACATCTGCTGAGTAATTTCTATTCTGTACACCATCTGAGAAGGAAATACAGGGTAATTCAAACCCCCTTTTTTCTACCATGGTTAATAACATAAACAGGGAGCTGGATATGCTGAAATCTAAATACGAGGGTCCTATATCAATGGCTTATTACTTTATCTTTTCTGAATGACGTTCACTTGAATACCTGGAATCGTAATAGCTACTCAAGATAAGAAATGGAAGGAAATTCAATAACGGTAAGAGGCCTGGTAACTTATGAGATCTTGATTAGCCTTCAACTGCACCTAAATGTTGGGACAGGATTCCCTGTACTGTACACAGAGGGAGCTGAATAGCATTGTGAAAACCATTGCCTTGTTGCAGGGGAGCACAAACAACTGGCTTTTGTCATTATTAAGGCTTTCTTGTGTTCACTTATATATGTGAGCCTTCTGAGTCTTCTGTGGATGAGCATTTTTCTCCTTAATTTTTCATTGCTTTAAAATTCTGGCTTTGCTGGTGGGGATGGCAGGTGGCTCTGGCCCCTGCAGTGATCTCAGAGCTGTGGCTGGCTGGGGCATACAGGTACAGTGCTGAACCTCCTAAATACCATCAAATCTGAAATTGGGCTTCCTCTTCTTGGTACAGTCTGTACTCCTGCTGATGCCTTTGGGCAGTGGTTTACCCTTCCCATGGCTGAGGGAGCATGGGGAAGGAAGAAGAGGACTCTTGCCCTTCCAGCTGCCTGCCCTGGGAGTGTCCATGAGCTGGG